AAACCACATGACAGAGTGTGCATTTGCTTTGTAGTGTAGTTCATCTGAGGCCGACCTCATGCTTAAAGAACATTTCCTTTACAAACCATTTCATATGATGCTACTGAGTTAATTAATTTTCCCCCCAAAAAGAAAATCAAATGACATTGCATGCCATTAAGTTATGTGCTGCCCTACTTTTCCTTAAATCTCTATCTTGAGGCTTCCTATCATTATTCCGTGAACATGAAAGTGAAATCATGCCTTGTACTGCACTAAAAAATCTGAAACACAACACACAATTAGGCCTACTCAAAGAACAAAAACAATCACTCACATAACAGTCCTCTGTGAGGCAAGCACAATCTCCGTTGACGTGACCAAAAACACTCCAGAGGCCCTCTTTTTCCATTTTGTATTTTTGCAGCTTTTAAAAATGTTATTTCTGTTCTCGGGAAACTGCTCATGTTGCCAGACAGGTTTACAACTAAACATTTTTATGTAAAGACCCTTTATACAGAGCCAGCTGATCTGTTACAGATTTGTACCAGAATTATTTTTGCATAGGCAGGTATGTGTCAGGGTTTTCTGTGCAAATAGTAAGATCGTCCACAGACCGTCCAGAGACGTGGGCTTCTCCAGCACCTGCTAGAGTTTTAAATGGAAACACTTTAAATCTATGAAAGCTTAAAATGACCACCTGCTGTCCTTCATGATTACTCTGAATAATGCATATGAAATGACAAGCCAGACTGTTTTAAAGCGACCCTTTCCATTATAAATGACTGTATTAATATGGAATTATCTGAGGATTTAGCTTAAAACCAAAATATTATCTTTAGGTAAATAGTTTTGTTTATCCAGGAGAACTCTAAAACACTTTCTCTTTGATGCACTGATGCACACATGTTTTTGTTAGCCAGTGTTTTCAGTGAAGGTAATGAGCAAACTGCATCACGCTGTCCTCTGGTAAGACTGAAGTATCCCCTCTGTGAAGTCAGCTGCTTCTACACTGAAACATCTCCCAATCCGGCATCCCAGCAGTACACTGTAATCACAGCCATTACCACTGAAGACCAAGAAAGCTCAATGAGCGAATAACAGCTTTGTAGAATGACAGACCTAAATGAATGACTTGGGTCTGTTTTCTTTTTGACCCTTCCTACCCTGTGATGGCAGATTGATTCATCTGCTTCATGAACTCAAACAGGCTCTGTTGCTATTGTGGGCAGAGTCACACTCTGATTCTGCAGCTGTGAAATGAAAATTACACTTTGTTATTCTGCCACAGAGCTTTTAAAATAGAGCCACTTTTGATTTAACATAGCCTATGATTAAGCATAAAAATATATACACGGGCACAATATGTAGGGGTTAAAAAAAATGACCAAAACTAACGTGATATAATTCCACAATAGTTTAAACTGCTAATACAACATTTGCCCCTAAAAATATGAAAACAAATAGGTTTTGGTGATTTTGCAGGTATTACTCTTAGGCTAAAACAATCTTGATCAGTGAAGCCAGTAAATCTTTGTTTTGACATGAATGTTGGAAGCAACAGCGAGACTCTAGCCGAGGTAATTAATTCTCCTCTCTCTGCCAGGGGCCAACTCTCAGATCTGGGACCTGCAGTCTGGAAAAAATAAAAAACACCATCCTAGCATATGTGTGCAGAGGATGTTATGGATTACTTCACATTTAATAACACATCAAAGTCAAAGGAGATTTGTATGAGCAACAGCTGCCATGCTAGTGGTCAGCCCTGCTGAGCTAGCTATAGCTAGCTATAGCTAGCTAGCTAACTTATCACTCTATAGAGTGATAAGTTCATAGTCGCTGAATGAAGCAGAGTTTCCTCCTGTTGCTGTTGTTGAAACAAAGCTTCCTAAAAAGCAGTTATTTTATAACTTTGAGTTTCAACCACAGGTTAAACTGGGATTTAAAAATCTGATACTCCAATAAAGCAACCAGTATATATTTTTTTTCTTTCTAAAGAACAACTCCAATAGAGTTGTTCATCAGACTAATAATGACCCCTAACAGTTATAAAGGTAGTTATTTACTCATGTTTGCTCTGTCCAACTCTGCTCAGATTGAATGGATATGTTTGATTCATTTTCATTTCATTTTCATTTATTAGTCATAAGTGTCAACTTAACTGGCCAATTGCTTATATCGGTTGATATCATCAGCCCAGCAGTATATCGGTCGGACCCTCATTGAAGGAAGCTTCATGGTTTTAGAAAATCTCCTCCTGTGTCTGTTTTCTAATATCAGTGCCATTCTTCCCCTACTAGCTGTCCATTCTAGGCTCAACGGAGGCAGTTAATAGATCAAGTAATGGGTTGAGTACTCCAATAGTGAGACAAAAGGAAAGAAAATTAAAAGATCATTTCTCCATCCACTGGTAACTTGGATGGAGTTACCAGTGGATGGTAACTCCACTGCCGCTACTGTACTTCCATACTAATGCATTTTTTTCAGACTTTAATTCTATTTTATTTATATAACTCCAAATCACGACAACAGTCACTTCAAGGCACTTTATATTGTCAGATAAAGACCGTCCAATAATGCAAAGAAAACCCCAAAAATCAGATGAGCCCCTATGAGCGAGCACTTGGCGAATGTGGGAAGGAAAAACTCCCTTTTAACAGGAAACTTCCAGCACAACCAGGCTCAGGGCGGAGCCACAATCTAATGTAACTAGTTTGGGGTGAGGGGAAGGAAAAAGGACACTGTGGGAGAGAGCAAGGAATTAATAATAACACAAACAAATACAATCGTTCTGGTGTGATTTGTCTGCACTTTGTTAGACATTTTGCAAACCATCAGATTTACTTTAAATTTAATTTATCTTAGATTTTTAAATATCAATATCGTGTACACTCTTCCCAAGCACCTCTTCAAACAGCTGTTTTCTTCAAAATGCCCTTTCCTCTAATATTCTGAGCCACAAATCTCCACTTCAGTAGCACTTACAAACTTTCCACTTGGATTCCTCTATGTAATCTAAAGCTTTACACCGAGGACTCGTTCATATATCATTCAGTGACTGATGGAATATTTTATTTCCAGAAACATGTCAGAAATTGACTTCTCTGTCTGTTGACTGAATCTTCCGATTCATGGAAAAATAAAGAAGTCGTATCCAAAAGCTTCACTGTCAAAACCTGTAACTCTAACAAAATGAAACAAGAATTTAGAACCTGGATTTACCTCACAATATTCACAGGATGGCAGGGAAATGCACAAATATTGAGATTTACATGCGTTATTTGCCCCTGCTTAACAACATTTCTGAAAACCTCTATTGCAAAAATATTTTTAAAGTAATTAGTCGCCAAGAATTCATCATGATATGATTTAGTTGATATCTTTTTACCTTCTTGACCAGCAAAAGCCCACAAAAAAAGAAAAAAGGAGTAGTGGAGGTTTAAATTCTAAGACTTAAAAAGCGCTTTCATTATACGCCTCCAAAGAGACATCAATGCAGATAAGGCTCCTCTAACCGCAAACAAGGACAGAAGTCTTTTATGAGGCTTCGTATTCATTAAAACTCCTGTTATTCCTGCGCTTCATGACTGAATTTTAAAAAATGATTGCGTATCGAACACTTGCAAAGCTGAGATAACCTATAGCTGCTCACTGCTACTAACAACCTACACCTTTCTCATTGTTGTTATGTGCATGCACTTGGGTGATCTCACATAAATCCCGGCATCCCACGACCAGACCTTTTGTAACTGGTCTAAATCAGCCACAGCGTGTGGGCGTACTGGGGTTTTGTTATTGCATGTGGGATTAACCTTTTTCAGAAAACAAGCTCAGGTGTAATTTCTATCAAGGTTCCATTACTGTCGCATATTGAGAAACCGTTTCTCCATCAAATGAAAATGTTACATCCACAAGATGTTCATTTTTCTAATTGGAATAACAAGATGGCTCCGGCACACATTTATCTGTTCTCCATCGCTGGGTGTGATCCCGGCAACGTCTCGATGAGATGAAGAGTCTGATAGTCTAACAATGCAGATTTCCCTAATGTACACAAACAGAAAGAAGCAGGGAGGAGATGTCAATATTAGCAGTGCTAATAGTCTCAACTGCTACTAATGCTAATGGCCATAATGCCTCAGCGGTATAGAAAATTACAAGCTACACTCACTGGCCACTTTATTAGTTACACTGGTAATATCAGGTCGGACTCCTTTTTAACTTCAGAAAAGCTTTAATTCTTCATGCCGCTGTTCTGTAACACCCGAAAGGCGCTCTATTGGAGATCTGGTGACTATGGAGGCCATTTGAGTGCATTTGATAACTCACTGATATATTTAAGAAACTAGTTTCAGATGATGTGAACTTTATGACCTGTTGCGTTATCCAGCTGGGATCACCCATCAGAAGACGGGTACACTGTGAGGATAGTTAGCAGCATGGTCAACAACATTACTTCAGTGGGCTGTGGCGTTTAAATGATATCCAGATAGTACTAAGGAGCCCAAAGTGCCGCAAGAAATATCCCCCCACACCATTACACCAATACCAGCCTGATAATGCAGGATGGGTCCATCCTTTCATGTTGCTTACTCCAAAATCTGACACTACCATCTGAATGTCGCAGCAAAAATTGAGACCCATCAGACCAGGCAGCATTTTTCCAGTCTTCTATTGCCCAATTTTGCTGAGCCCGTGTGAAATGGAGCCTCAGTTTCCTGCTCTCAGCTGGCATGTGTGGCAGCTTGTCTGACACCAGTAACCGTCCCATGTCTAAAGTAAGCCAAAGTTGAAGGGATACCTCAAAAGAAGCACAGATCCAAAAGCACTCTCATCTTTCAAGTGTTAATCACTGCACTACTCTCAGATAATTCACTTTCTTTAGTGTTTTAAACCTGTAGCTTTACTTGAAAGAATCAGTTACCTGTAAGAAGCTGGTAAGACCCTGGCACTAAGCAGGAAAGAGATCAAACCCAAACCAATCACATTTTCATGTGCAACATCAAAAAGGTGTTTCTTACTGTGTTGTTTCCATTTCCATTTAAATGTACACCACTGTCGAACAGCGGGGAGGATACTCGACTGTGATCTGGCCCCGGAGACCCTGAAACAAACAGCAAAATGATTCATGTTTACAAAAATCTTTTGAAGAATCACTGTTAAAGATTTAATCCAACTTCTCACCTTTTCTATCAATATTTGAATTCATCTGGAAACAAAGGCGAGTCATGAGTTGCACATAAACCTCAAACAGCATGTTCCAGCTCGTAGTCTTAAATTATAAGGGTTATTATTGACGTTATTCTGCTGCCCTGCCTTTAGCCATGCAGCATAGATCACAGGCAGAATCCAAAAGAGACAAATGCTGCTCGTTGATATGATATTAGCTTGGCGTTGGAGGAACTGCCTTCTGATTCGGTCACACTCTGTAAAGTGTGGCAAGCGGCTCCTGGCCTTTCCTGCCTGTCATTTGTGCCATGGTACAACAAAGGCCGGCTTAGAGAGAATACAACTTGAACCTTTTCACTCTCAGACAACAAAAACCACAATTCACGAGGCCAAACAGCCTACAGCTAAAAACCTGAGCATCTCTGCACTGCAGCCTTCCCATGAATGTTAACACACCCGTGCGATACGAAGGTTGGATTTCTCAAAGCGCTCACACTTTGATTTCCGGAGAATGTGGCGATTTATCGAGCTATAAATATTCATGCGTGCCTGTTAGTATTAATTATTTTTCTACATCTGTGTGCTCTTCGTAATTAGATAAATTGTACAAAGTGATTGTTGTGTTTACTGTGGGGACTGAAATCATTTGTATTGCATGGGGTTCATTCATTCATTTTGCTTACAGCTAATTCATAGCAGAACAATTATTAGCGGCTCGGCAGTCTGAGTGTTCGCTGCAAACACAAAACTGTCAACATCTAAAGGCCCAGATGTAATGCAGGAAGTTACAGACTGTGACATTGATGCATTAGCTGTGTTTACTACAGTAAAAGATAAGTTTAAAGAACTTTATTTGTAAGAGTTAGGAGATAAAATCAGTACCAGTTTCTTATCCTTCCTTTAAAACGGACCAAGAGCTTAGGTAGGTTTAGCCTAATTTAGGATTAAAAGATAAATCACAAAAATCTGACCGTCAAAGGATATAGTAGGTCAGGGGTGTCCAGTCCTCGAGAGCTACTGTCCTGCAGCTTTTACATGTATCCCTACACCAACACAGCTGAATCAAATGGTTGGATTACCTCTTCAGCGTGCCATCAAGTTTGGCAAAGGCATGATAGCAAGCCATTCATCTGCAGGACAGTAGCTCTCGAGGACTGGAGTTGGGCACACCTGTAGTAGGTCATCCGGCTCATGATCTATCACAGTTTAGATCAGGGGTCTCGAACTCCAGACCTCGAGGGCCGTTGTCCTGCAGGTTTTAGATATCACCCTGATTCAACACACCTGAACCAAGTGATTAGTTCATTACCAGGCCTCTGGAGAACTTCAAGACATGTTGAGGAGGCAATTTAGCCATTTAAATCAGCTGTGTTGGAACAAGGATGCATCTAAAACCTGCAGGACAGTGGCCCTCGAGGCTTGGAGTTCGAGACTCCTTGTTTAAATTTTATTGACCATAAAACAACAAATGTGACCTCAACCTTGAGCACAGATTGGACGAGTAGAGATTTCTGTGAACTGTAAACAGATGGCATGAGCTCATCAGTCCTTCAACTAGATGATCTGCATCTCAAAACCACCAACGACCATCTGATTTGTATTAGTTTTTTAAAATTATCTGCATTTGTAAACACACCTGAAACCCCCAACAATAAGTCAGCAGAGCTGATTGAAACAGCTAGCCTGAATTTGCCTAAAGATCAGAAAATCCAACTACCGGCAACAACGGTATAAAGTGCTTTAACACGTAATATATACAGCAAACAGAAACAGCTGTTTGTCTGGCGTATAAAGCCTGCAGAGTGGCATCAATCTTTTTATCCAATTCTGGGGAAGAAAGAGAATTAGCATATGCCCTAAAATATCACTACCTTTTTTTTTTAAGAAAGTGAGAGTAAAAACATGAGCAGCAGTATTTGAATTTTAAATGTGATGGCAGTTGGTGGGTTGTTTACTTGTTGTGAAAACTGAAGTGAAACTGTCAATGGGACAGGCGATTTTAAAAATCCTTTCTCTACAAAACATCAGACAAAGTGCTCATCAAATGTCACTTGAACCCAAACGAAGGTCACGGGATCTTTGTTTCCCCCATTCAATCCAAAACTCGATTATTTAGATTTTTAGCACAGGAAACCAACAAAAAAACAAACCAATTATATCTGAACTTTCCAATTATCACAGTTTGGGGATTTTTGCAAAGCAAAAAAACGATCAGAGAAACTAGCAATCAAATTTGAGTTGGTGTACTAATCAATTAAAGCTGAGGTCAAGAAAAAATGCTTTTTGTGTCAGACTCCTGCCATCCCTGCTGGCTCTGTTTTCAGCGCTACAAAATCCAACCACCAACAGCCCTTCTGTTTTTGTTTGTTTGTTTGTTTATTGCCTTTTCTGAATTTCAGTAATGACATCACCACAGCCCCACCTTGAAATTAGATCAAACCACAGCTACACGGTCCTGATATACAACAGACAATCTTACTTTTGTAGTGTTGAGCTCTGACGCTTGCACATATTTCTCCTGTTTTACACAGTGAATCTGTTAGTAAGCAAACAAATTCTAAAATAACCAAACTTTTGCAGGCCTGTATTTTTTCTTCGCTCTGTTGTCCAGCACTTCATTAGCCATCTACATGGGCCTCACATCTGAAAAACATCTATTTATAATTACTATATTGTTACTTTATTTCCTTATGACACACTAAAAAACAAATGTAAACTTCTGTGTAAAAACATGTTTTTTGACTGGTATCAGAAATGAAAGCAAAGGGGAGGCAGTTAAGATAATGATTTACTGTAATTTGGTGGGAAACTAAAATGCTGCCAGTCATGTCATATTAATAACATGAAAACATTTAAAATGACATTTATGCAATGCTTTGTTTTTTTGTTTTTGTTTTTAAATGAAACGTTAGAACTCAAACATGTTTTCAGACATTTCTCACCCGCCTTCACTCTGATGTTAAGTATATGATAAAGTATTGCACAGTGTTCCAATAAATTGCCAAATTTACACTTTACTTTGAGGCTTGGTTTGTGTTGCTTTCTTCCTTGCCATCATTTTCTCACCGCTCTCACCTACATCCTTCGCTCCACACCTTTTATCGGCTCCACCTGGATGATTTTAGTGTCTCCGTTTTCATCTTTTCAAGCTGCTGAAGGTAAGTGCAGCTCTGGGTGTTTCTGACATTACTGCTCGCCTCGGGCCACCGAGCATGACAATTTATTACTCTGAAATGAACGCTCGTCTATCGAACAGGTTTAAAGCACCAAGTTGAGCAAAAAGACAATTTTCCATAAAAGCGGTTCGCTTCTCATTTGCTAAGAATGCTCAGTGCAATAAAGTTTATAGCCGGTTTAAACGGCGTCGATCAGCGTGCGCTTACCTAGAGGCAGTTTTAGAAATGATGGAACTTCTCGCAGGTAGCGAACAGTGATGGTGACCTCATCTCCCGCAGTACGCAAGAGGTGAACCTGGCGGGAGCGAGAGAGATTGATACAGATAGCGAGGGGGAGAGATTGCGAGTGATACAGCGAGATAAAACTTAATCTCATATAAATGAAACAAGCCACATTCATGTCAAGCTGTATGCTGCCTGAGCAAATGAAATGTAGCGGGAGATGAGTGAGGAATATTAAATCAGAAGTTAAAGCCTGGCTGAAGTGGTTCCACTTGAATCATCAAAAGGCAGATTTCGAAGGCCGGCTTTTCGCTCGTGACAGGCGGTGGCAAAGTGACAGCTGACACGACAAAGTAATTACGCTCTGAATGTCTCATTATCTGATGTGTAAGTGACATGTTCTCAGAGATGCAGTCACAGCAAACATATGTTTAATGCGATGAAATCTGTTTCTTCCATGCAGCTGATGAAATAAATGAAAAATTCGAGCAAATGAGACTCATGAACGAAAAGCGCAAGGTCACTTGTGCATGCCCTCGATGCATATCTGCCATCCTCTCCTGCATTATATGCTAGCCCTTTTACTTGAGCCCAAGCATCTGTCAGCGCCGACAGTGTGACAGGCTGCTATTAAATGTGCTGGATTTCGTTCTGAACAGAAACTGCTCATTATATGTTTTGACGCTCTGGAGGTGAATGTAGAGAACAGCTGTATGAGGCTGCACGAGGAAAAAGATATGGCAGACAGGAAGAGCGTGCGTGGGTGAGATGGAGGGATGGTCGCAAACAGCAGAGGGGATATTTAACAAAAGGAAGATGCTGTTTCAGAGGGAAACTGATCAAAATGAAAAGAAAGAAATTGTGAATGTAGAAGAAAGGGGGGGGGACACCGCATACTGGCACCCTCACTTCCTGTGCAGGCTTTGATAATAATCGACTCTTTTTCAGGCTTTTCAATTTGTCACAGTGTCAACGAAAAGAAAAACAGCCTCCTGCCAAGATGACAACTCAGATTGTTGAGGCGCACCTCCCTGTTGATAAACAGCGGGATTTGGTGTTACACCTGGAGGACGGATGGAAGAGTAATGGGCAGATGGAGCAGGGTATTGGCTTTTTGCAAGAGTCAAATACAAAAATACTCACAACTTCCTCGTGAGTACAGTGCTCTACATTAATGCCATTGACCTAAAGAAACAAACAGAGATGAAACACAAACATTTAGTTTAACATAAGACTATTAAGGACTTGTATTCTCACTAACAGGGTCAGAGGTGCCTCCATTTCTAGAATATGACTCGCAGGGTGATGTGCTGTTTAGGCACCTCGGTGTAGTTCTGGACAGGCCTACCAGGTCCAGAATAACAGCTCCTGCACTAAAGTGATTAATATTTATGTATGAAGAACATTTTCATAATCCAAACTAATTATGTGTTTTGGGATTTTCTTGAGTTATGACCAAAAAATGTTTTGCAAGGCTACGGTGACTTTCAGCTCTCTAAGTCCCAGTTCAGGCCAAGTTAACAGAACATAAATTCACCAGCCACTTTGTTAGGTACACCATGTTAGAACCCAATTTTGCCTTCACAGCTACCTCAGTTCTTCATTGCATATGTTCAGCCACGTGCTGCAAGCATTCCTCAGCGATGTTAGTTCATATAGATACGACAGCATCACACAGCTCCGTATTTATGATGCGAGTCTCCCATACCAGCACATCCACAGATGCTCTATTAGATCGAGATCTGGTGACTGGAGTCCATTTGAGTACATTCACTGGCATCAGCCTGAATCGTTCATGCAAGGCAGGATGGATCCATGCTTTCATTTTTTCCAGAGATCTATTGTCCAGTTTTTGTGAGCCAGTCCAGTGAGGACTGCCAGTGCGGTCTTCTGTTGCTGTAGCCCATCTGCTTCAAGGCTGGAGATGTTGAGCATTGATGTTGAGGTGATCTTCTGCTTGGTTATAACAAGTGCTTGTTTGAGTTACAGTTACCTTCCTATCAGCTTAAAGCAGTCTTGTCATTCTCCTCTGACCTCAACAAGGAGTGTTCTCTCTCTCTGTCAGCGTCTAAAGGTGTACCTAACAAAGTGGCCAGTGAGTGTATAGTTGACCCCAAAACACAATGCCTTGAGCTACAGAGGCAAAATAATATGAAGTGAAAATAAGATCAAATAAGATGCTAAATCATTATAAAGAGAATAAAAGCAGATGGAAATTATCTCCAAGACAGGAAAAAAAGAAAAACACCAATCATCACCAAACAGAATTCCTACAAATATCAATATATTTAAAGTAAAATGCAAAACTGTAAGTACAAATACAAAAAACTGCAACAAGACGGGAAACGACACAGAGACACAGTGTTAAAGTTTATAAAAGTCTGTCATAATCTGCTGCAATTTGGAGAAACAATCTTTATATATGTGTGTGTGTGTGTGTATATATATATATATATATATATCTTTTTATTCAGCTTTTTTTCCCCATTTATTTATTTATTTTTAAATCTAAGCTAAACTCATTTCACAGATTCTCTCCCCTTAAAACAGTCGTCCAGCCTGAGCCTCCCCATGACTCCCAAAGTTTACGCACCAGCCCCTAATTTGCTTCGTCTCCTGCCATCCAGGCAAACAGATGCAATATTCTACAATGTGACACTTCAAATAAGCCACTGCAAATACATATGAAACAGCGGTGAGAGATGGAAGCAGTGGCAGTTCTATTCATATTATTATTCGTAATCATTTTCAATATGAATGGTAATATTGCTTTGCTGTCCATTGAACCTACTTGATATTCCAGATAAACAGCAGATCCAATAAAGCTGCCAGACGGATTCAAATTAACTTATTAAAAAGATTAAATGAATAGCATTACTAAACACTAGACACTAATGACTACCACTCTAAGGAGCATCAGCTATTATTCATTGGTGATATTTTTTTAAATATAGAAACACATACATTGAGTGATTCCTGTAGCAATGATGTGTTTTGTTTTTTAAATCACATGCTGAATGATTCATTTGAAAAACATCGTATAGCTCAAAAGATTCAGCTACCATTCCTTCAAATTAATAACCGTTAAAATGTGAGCGAAATTGAGATGCAAAGAGCCGCCCCGCTGGGTCGTGACCCCAACCAGCATCCAAGCAAATAAGTCAGAAACTGATACTGACCTGCAACACTGCGTCCCCGACGAACAGCTTCCCCGTCTGATCGGCTGCGGAGCGTCAATCGTCGAGTGTCAGAGGTTAATGAAAACATTATGAAATAATTGCTCATTTCATACACGGTAATGTGGTGGAAATGGCAATCAGTGTCCCCCCCAACCGTCTAATCTCAGACAACATCCTACAGCTCACAGAAAGAACACAGGAAGGCATGAAATTCGAAACTAATCAGGAAATAAACTCATTTGCAGCAGCACAGGAGGAAACAATGAGAGCTGTGTTGTGAAAAGATTTGTAAAGCTGTGTGAAAAGGGCTCTTAACGTCCTCGGGATATCAAGACATGATTTTCTCGCATCAGAAAAAGTATTAGGAAGCGCGTGGGCAAAAAGAAAAATTACCGGGAAATGATTCGCTCACATGATGCTCTAATATGGCTTCACGCAGGGAAACTTGGAGGTCATCAATTCTTAAAATTTAACTGACAGACATGATTAAAGTATTTTCCATCTAGTTAACAGCATGATCATATTACTCTTCCAATCTGGCGATGGTTTACTTCTCCACAGCACTTCATGCTCACTTATCATCAATTAACTGCCCTATTGGACTGATGAGCTGTTGTGAGAGATTACAACAGTTCATCTTTTACTTTGTGCCTCGCAGCAGGTGCACATAAATAAAGGTTTTCTTTCTGAGAGTTGCTGAGAATTCGATTGAAACGAAAGGAAAAAACCCGTCATGTCAAGTTTACTTTAACAACCTTTTAAAGCAATCAAAGAGCAGATGTTTGCGGTTTTTAGGTGGTGTTTCGTGCAGCTGGGTGCAGTAAACGGGGACAACGGGGTTTCCGGCAGAGCTTTCATTTTTTCTGATCACGGGGGGAAAGGGGGAAAAAAAGTCACTGAATACACAGAGAAAAAATAATTACGAAAATCCACAATCTTGACAACAAAAACAAAAATCCAATATTTATTTACATTTGCTAATCGCTTTCTCGGCACGGTGAGGCGGCAAGCATCGGCAGCTCTGCCTCTCACCTCTTTCTAAATAAAATTTTCAGTCCCATTTCCATTTTCACACCATTATAGCCAGACAAAAACACATGCAGCAACTGTGACTATCTCATCTGTGTTTTACCATCGCAGCCCGGCAGGCCACAGTTCTGGAACATCAGTTAAGAAATAGTTGTGTCAATATCAGCAAGTAATTTAGCTGTTTTTGTTATTTCACTTACAGACACATGGAGGGTGGTTCATCTGACATGACAACAGAGGCTACGATAGACTTTTAGATTCAGGAAAAAGTTGCAGGAAACTTTGAAACGGCTTAATGCACTCCTATCATAGACTGTATAAAAACGTTGGATGCAGTGTCCTAATGAAGCAAAGCTGGTTCTGAGGCGCCTCAGATCTGCACGACCTTGGAGGTTGTTTACAAACAAAAGCCAGATTTTATACTCTGTGGGGAGAATGATCATGCTTCTCAGTGAACATATTCATAATAAGTTCATTATCTCATCAAGTCATCTTCAATACAACACTGCATTCACTTTTAAAGTTATGGTCCCATTTAGAGTAGTTTAGAAAATACAGTGTGATGGAGGCATGGCTGCCTTGTGATTGACAAAGTGCTACTGTATGGGCATGAAATGCATTTGACCTTTTTTGTCATCTTTTTTAAAACAAACAAACAACCAAAAAAAGCCAAAACAACAGCTTGAAGCTTCAAGAACAAGTTATGCATCCATCTTTTATATACAGTCTATGCACCATGTAAAAACTGTGCATACAATCAAAAAGCTGTGCAGTTGTCTCATACATGTTCTGTAACGTTTCCTAAATGTGTTGTAGAAGACTTTCTGTGCGTCAGATTTCAAACTGATTATTCGCGTCTGTGTTTTCCTTCTCTGACGTTGACATGTGAAAACGGCTTTATACGTACTGCAGTGCGTCCTGATAAATTAAAACTCAGTACAAACTCATGCTGTGCAGCTAATTTTTTAAGAATCAGATGGGGGTATTTTCCGCAACTATCCTGCCTCACATGGATCACACAGCAGGAAATAATCCACTTTGGGCACTTTGCACTACAGGAAATATCTACAGAGTGGTTTATGGCTGGGAATTGTCTGAACTGAACAAGCAAAACCCAACATCACACACACTCAGGGCTTTGCATTCTTCCCATGCAGCTCTTTTGGTGAATTCCTAAAAACAAAAAAGTTCATCAAAAGCACTGCATGTGTAAAAACAGCTCAAGTCACACATTACACATGTTGGCTAACTTGATTTAATTTTAGTGTTAAGCTAGGCTAAACATGACCTCCAGCGTTAACATCAGTCTTCTCTTTCAAGCCTTCTTTTTAATTTATTCATTTATGTATTCTACTGTGACAATGTCTTTTAATAAGGATGCTATGAAACTATAAGACTTTTTTAAATCTTACAGACAAATCTTGTCAATTTAAGTACCAATATAATAATAATTTATTATGTCTGTAATCACTTTGAACCGTGAAACTCGACGATGCACTGAAAACCATTTCCAAAGCCACATTAAAGTAGTGAGATGAAATGCTTTCTTACCTACTTGATCTTTAAAAATCTTTGAAATAACCACTGGCACGTTGTGCTCTGCACCTCCCTGAAAAGCAGGAGAGAAAGATGAGGATGTGCATTTCTGAGTATGGGTGGTAAAATTTGCTGCCAAAACAGCTTTTTCAAACAGCCATCTCTGCCACCCAAAGCCTTTCATTTCCACTGTAGTCTCAAAACTTATCTGCTTACTTTGATGCTTAAGCCCAGACCGCCGGTCGCTTGTCTTCGCAGTACAACAGTTCTGTGCTTTAGAAAGTGGGAGTTTCTTATTGGCAAAAGGATATTGTGAACATTGAAAAGTATGCTGGAGTTATGCGGCATGAATTACAAAAAGCGAGCCTGGAGGCCTCGGGTGCACTTACATTTACTTGGGATTCACTTCCACTCGTGCAAACCACATCCAGCTTCTGTATGGTTAATACCTCTTTGGTCAATTTCAGGCAGACATCATAGGTATTGTTGGTCTCCTCATTGTACAGCAAAGCAATTCCAGATTTTGTCTGTTGGAGTTGAGAAGAACATTGACATTTTGCCAAGCAGAGCAATTACGTAGACAATGAACATTTTAATCCTCTTTTCTCAACGTGCCATTTGTGCACCCCGTTCTACTGGTCTAGTTTTGGGTTAATTGGTTTTGCCTGACATTGTGAAACCTTAGTGTAAGGATTTTTTTTCTTTCAGTTCAGTGTTTCTACCTTATGAAACCAGAGATACACAAAAGTTCAGGCAGTTGTGCCAGAAAGTCTAACTTTGAGGACAGAAATGACAACAGTCAGCCAGATCAAAGAAGCACAGACGTTACAGTTCACGCTTTTTCTGTTTCTTTGTAGATGAAGAACCTTCAAGCATCTGAAAACTGAATGCAGTGCAGCTCAAATTTAACGCTCTTTCTGTTCAGTATCATTATCTGCAAATATCAACAGAAATCAAAGAAGCAGCCATCTCAAATTATTCACCTTTTTGATTAAGCAAAAGACTGTCAGACAATACCTTCTGTAACACTTCAAACGATACGGCTCATATGACGAGATTGAAAAATGGTAAAAAACTATGTTTATATCCCTAAACACAAACTACGTTTAGACCAAGACACTAGCAGCCAGGAAATATTAAAAAATAATTTTGGCCACTTTGGTTTAGTTTATGCTAACGACTTATAATTAATACTAACAAAATACAGATGAGGAGCCTAAATAAGTATTTTTGAAACAAGCAGAGGTTTTGACCCAATAATGGGTCAATAACTGGAATTAGTATACAGATGGAAACATTTTGCCATTAAAAGAAACTGTAACTGTAAAATTCATCAGCTCGCTGTCTGGGTTTGACAAAAGCCATGTCTAATTCTGCACCAATTGTTCACCATTCATTCAGAAAATTCAGGCAGTCTGTTGATTTCCATCAAATGTTCAAAGGTCAAAGCTGGTCATGGCATGGACGGAAAAAACAAACAACAGGCAGATGTCAACATTTTGATGTAGAATAAAGCGTTGCTTAACAAATTCAGAAGTATTGAACAGAACAGGAAATTCAAAGTGAGCTGACGGCCCTGCAACGTCTGCATGTACACAAACTAGCATTTTTAAATGGAAACAACACCGTTACACTAGTTACATTTATGTGCATCTAAATTCTGTTTCATTTGTTGCATGGTGAACTTTATACGTTGGCCCGTTACAGTGACCTCTCTTACCTGGATTACTGACCCTGTGATGCAAATTGTTACATTCCCCACATGGATCTGTTGGTACGGAAAGTAACAGAATACTAGATGGAGAAACTTGAGGAGGCTGTTTGGGTCGTTTGGAAATTATTTATTGCCACAATGTCAGAAACTATGCATAAATTGGCTTCTGGGAGAGCCAAAGACAACACAACAGCACCCCCAACACAAAACAAAACCCCTTCATCTAACAAACTTTAAACTTTGTCTAAAGAAAGGTGACAGTCCTGCGCTTCAACTCCCTAACAAACCAGTGGAACGAGAGAAAAAGGTGAATATCAAGAGAAACTCTCCTGGCAACTCTGACCACAGGAAACCTGTTGGGAAATGTAACACAAGACAATGACACAAAGGGAAAAATAAATTGACAAGCACAAAGAAGCAACATATAAATCTTCATCAGCAATGACATGAAAGGTGGAAACATCAGGAGCTGCTGGGAGGATCGACGTCCTCACAACTTTCATTTTGGAACTCTTTTTCAACCACAACTAGATATTGAGAATCTATCACCAGCAGGGTTACTGAGCTTCAAAATGTTTGCTTGGCAAGCATTCAGAAAATACAGAAATAACATTTTGTGGCAGTAGATGGTGTAATTTCAGTTTTGAACCAAAATCAAACCCTTTAACAAAAAGCATCCATCCACACGCAGTTACTGAGAGTAATGGAAGACAGTGTTTCAGCGCGGTAACATGTTTGCATGCCGATGCCAGAGTTCAGCTAGAAGCAATTTGGTACCTGTGCATTTAAACTAAAGTTAGTAATTATAACTAAGCTTAGCTTCAAACACACTAAAGCTTCAACAGCATTTTATAAACCCATAAAAACAGCCCCATCAGTCCATATACAAGTAGGTTCTGAAAACGGGATACTAGGGAATTGCTTTGGGTCTAACACCGTAAACGTTGGAATAAAGTGCACATTACCTGCAGTGACCGTCATTACTTCTCAAATAAGTTCAACTCCTCTACATCTTTCAGTGACACTGAGGGAATTCTTGGAAAATGAAGCTCTGTGCAGGAAAATTCTTATTCCAAACACATTCTAAGTATTATGATGGGCGGCCAGTCATGGTGTAAGAATTAACTCAACATGTTTTTCATATTTGGAGAAACAAGAAAATCCTAGCAAATGCCCCAGAGAAGGGCCCAGACAGCATTGCGTTCTGATGAAAGCACCAACAATCTACACTGAACAAAAATATAAACGCAACACCTTTGTTACTGCTCCCATT